CATTAGCACCTCTAGTAATATATTTACTGAGAAAAATGGTGACGTGTTCAATACTTATTTTACCCGCTGTATAACAAGAAATAGTCCAACATGTTTTGAACAGGTGGAAGCAGAGCACCTTCATCCCAACTCCAGCGTTCTACTTCCACAGTCTGTACAAAGACCACCAGGGAGACTTCAAGGTGAGCTGAGCCCATCATAGAAAACATCTGCAACAATTCAGATCCCGTTTGACCTCTCGTGTCATCACAGAGCTGGGTGGTCACACGAGAAGGCACGGTGGGCACGCTGAAAGCAGAGGAGACCCTTAAAATCAACACCCTGGTTCAGTGCGTGGACGCCCAGGGCGACAAGTCGCCGCCGGTGTTCGAGCAGCAGTGGACGGAGGGCGGCGGCTACAGAAACATACCTGCAGGGGACTGCGATGCCGATCGCAGCACGCTGTGCACCGGCAGCAGCTGGCTGTCGGCTCAGTGGAGCTCGGGAGGCTCTCTGCCTGCGTGGTCCGAGTCGGGCAGCCCTGCGGGCGACTCGGGCTGCTGGCTCTGCAGCGACACATCTTTGGAGAGGGAGCCTCCCTGGTACTGCAACGAGTACTGCACCCTGAGCTGCATCCCGGCTGAGCATCGTGGGAACCCTGCTCAACAAAAATCATCAGCGTGAATGCAGCTGGGGAAAACACACTGTAAAACCAGAAAATACAGCAAACACTGCCAACTGTCTAACACATTTATCAACAAATTGTGTCAAAATACTCATTTAGTCCTAAGCTACACATATTTTAAGTCTGTATATAAAGTGCCACTGAAATATTTTTACACCTAATTTTGAATTTACCTAAAAATGTGTATTTTTCCAATGTAATAAAAGAGATTGCATTGTTTTGTAGAAAGTTTTATTAAGCCAACACATACATGAACAAAGCACCGTATAACCTTAAAGTTTGACGTACAGAAGTAAGCCTACCTGCCTCAGTCACTGTGGCCTGTTTTATTGATTCCATAGCAAACACTCTGAATAACAAAAAGACAGCCAAGGCAGCAAATTCTATCGTATATTACAGCATGCTGAATAGAAAAAACCTGGGAAAGGAAATTAGAGAGCCATCTAGAGACACTAAACAACAGTATAAAAGTGCCATTCATTATACAGCTGTTGAAATACTGACAATGAAATTAGCCAATTTTACATTAAATTTATGGAAAATAAGAGGGAAAAGAAAAAAAAAAGACCCTGTGAGGAGAGCAGAAAATAAAAGACATTTCTTTTTCATGGATATTGATGACAGCCGTCTTTGCACAGAGCCGATGAAACTGAGGCTGTGTCTCTTGCACCACGTAAGACAATGTTTAAAAAAGAAATGACCGAGGTGCTCGAGCACCCGTCCCACCCCCCCTCCCCCTCACAGCATTATGCGCCAACCGGCATTTTAAGATGGGATATAAAAAAAAAAGGGACAGGTGAAAGGATGGCACAGAATGTGTGGAGTTTAAATAGAAAGTCTTTAAGCGAGTCCTGATGTGAGAGGAGCACATTCATCGAAGAGACCGAGTGGGGAGAGGTGGTTCCTGTTCAACCCATTCCTTCTGCCGCAGCGCAGCCAGGCGGCACCTCTTACGAGGGGGAGTACTTTTTGGCTTGTGCTCGAACTCTTTTTTCATATTCTACTCTGTTTTGGCTGAAAGAAACAGAAAATAAAAGGGTGTAAAAATAAACTTGTGGTGCAGAAATTTTGGCTACGTTCACATCGCAGGTCTGAACACTCAGCTCTGACTTTTTTCTTTGAGTGATCGCTTACATTAAAATTTAAAAGCAACCTGTCTGCACAGAAGACAAAGTCACACACAGCACTGTGTTTACACAAGCAAATATAGATGCTACGTGTTAGCATGTGGATCAATCCTGAAGTTGTGTAATGTGAGCCGACTGAATTAATCTTTTTTTGTTGTAAATAGGAGCAAATATAAGATTTTTTTTTACTTCTACAGCCTTTCATTTTATTTGAGTTGCATTGTTTTGTTGTATGTAATGTGTTTTGTTTGTTTTTTTAAATGAAATGAATAAATACATAAATTTCAATTTTTTTAAAAAATTATTATCTTATGTGCTTGTTAAATCCAATGTTCACATTTGATTTCATCCTGCCCACTCGAGTGC